CATTTTTCAACTCTTCATTCAGGATGCCTGTGACATGTCAAGTATCCTTCTAAGGTGCAGTGAAAACCAGCTAAAAATCCCAGCTTTCCTGGAGCTTACCTTCTAGTGGGGAAAAGAGACAAAAAAACAAGATATATAAGTAAATATATACCATGTTAGGTAATTAGAGGTGCTTATTAGAAAAATAAATTAGAGAAGGAGGAGTAAATAGTGTTGAGTTGGGGAAAGGAGGATGCAGTTTTAGATAGGATATCCGAAGAAGGCATCGTTGAGAAAGGACTTTTGAGCAAAGACTTGAGGGAAGTAAGGGAGCTATTCATGTGAAAAGAGCATTCCATAAAGGAAAAGTCACGTACAAAGTCCCTGAGGCCATACTTACTGTGTAGCATGTTTGATATATCCTAACCAAGGAAGCCAGAGTGAGCAAAGGAGAGAGTGGTCGGAGATGAGGCCAGGGAGGGGACAGATCATACAGATTCTTGTAGGTCAGTGGAAGAACTTGGACTTGTACCGAGTGAGATGGGACATCTTGGGAGGATGTCCCATTTGAACAAAGAAATGGCCTCTTATGACTTAATGTTTTAAGAAATCACTTTGGCTGCCATATTGAGAAAAATAAATGAAAGGAAATTTGGGGAAGGAGAACAAAAGCAGAAGCAAAGAGACCAACTAGGAAGCTGTTAAAAATAATCCAGGCAAGAAACGATGGTGGCTTAGAGCAAGATGTTAATGGTGGAGACGGTGAGAAGCAGTCAGATTCTCGTGTTTTGGAGTTTGGTGGAAAGTATTTGATGACTGATTGGATGCGAGGTTCAAGAGAAAGAGGAGCATTAAGGATGATGCCAAAGTTTTCGGAAGAATGGCATTGTCATTTACTGAGATGGGGAAGCGAGAAGGGAAGCAAGTTTGGGTGAGATTAATTTTGGTAAATTTAGCCAGATTAAGTTTGAGATGCAATTAGACATCCAAGTAGGTAGACATCGAGTAGCCTGTAGGATATACGAGTCTGGGTTCAGGGGAGAGATGTGAGTATCCAGGGAATCATCAGCTTATAAATTTAAGCTATGAGATGGGATGCGATCACCAATGGAGTGGGTGTAGGTAGAAAATAAAACATGTTCAAGGACTAAGCCCTGGGGCACTTTGATGTTTAGAGGTCAGGGAGCTGAGGAGAAATCCCAGCAAAGAAAACTAAGGTAAGAGAGTGTAGCAACCTGGAAGCCAAATGAGAAAGGTGCTACAAGGAGATAAATCAAGTAAGATCAAGACCAAGAATTAACCAGTAGATTTAGCAATGTGGAGGTTGTTGATGACCTTGGTAAGAGTAGTTTAAGTGGAATGGTGAGTAGATTGGGGTGGATTCAAGGGATAATGGGAAGAAAGAAATTGATGAAATCAAAAATAAACTCAAGGAGTTTTGTTATAATGAGGAGGACAGAGATGGAGTGGTAGTTGGAAGGGAAAGAGCGGTTGAGATGGGAGTTGAAGATGAGAGAAATAATAGCTGTTTAGATGCTGATGTGAATAATCTAGTAAAGAGTGGGAATGTGTTGGTGCAGGAGAGAGTAGATAATTGCTTTTTTCAGTATCCTTCAGAAGGCAAGAGGGGATGGAATCCAGTGTTTAAGAAGAGGAGTTGACCTTAACTAGGAGCACTGAAGGAAGTAAGGGAGCTAGTCATGTGAAAGCGTATATATCTCATGCCTGGTAACAGGAGAAGAGATGAGATACAGGGCAGATGGTGGCAGATGAGTAGACTTGGTTGAGGGTGCTTTTGGAAATGTTCTCTTGGTTGCTTCCATTTTCTCAGTGAAATAGGAATTAAGGTTATTAGCTGAGAGTGAGGACAGGGAAAGAGGTGATGAAGGCTTGAGGGAAAAGTGGAATAAACTATTTAGATAACTATTATCTAAGAGAAGGGAAGAGTGAATGGAATTGGGAAGTGTGGTATGACTGGTGGGAGGCATCCAGGCTGACTTGAAGGTGGTGATGATGGCTTTAAAATGAGACCAGTCAGTCCATTTGGTGGTGTGTTTTTCTTCAGCCACATTCTGCTAGGCAGGCGCAGGCCGGGAGTAAGCAGACAGTTGAATTTAACCAGGATGGTGGTTTAGCTTGGTCCAGGGAATTTCAAGAGCGGGACAAAGAGATTTGAGGCTGGATACGAGGGGCGATTGTAATGATTGTCCATGGTTTTCAAGTTGAGTGAGGAAGGATCCAGGGTGGAGGTCAAGGAGTAAGAGGCCAGGGTTTTGGAGGGATCCTCTGTTGGTTAATGAAATGACCAAGAATCATGGCAGAAGTTCCATAGTGTTGGAGCAGGTGACAGTGAGCAAAACCTAAAACCTTGGTTTTGGGGAGTTGGGGGAGTGTCTAAGGTGAACTGATGCCTGCAGGAAAGATAGGTAGAGTGGCAGGATCGGAAGGCATGAGCTTCACAGGGGAGGAATTTTAGAAAGGATAGATGAGCGATGGTTTGGAAGTTGGATTGCAAACAAGAATGTCTACCCACTTCCTGGTGCAATGGGATGAGGAACGTGGGGAGAAAACAGTCTCTACTTGAGAGGGCTGCAGGGGAAGCGGTTCCTCGGGAGAGCCAGCTTTCCGTCAGAGCGATGATGAAGAGCATGTTGCCAGAAGAGGCTGAAATCTAGGGATTTTGCTGATGATTGACCGACCAGGAGTTCAGTGGTACAGTGGAAGGATTTCACGAGAAGGAAGGAGAGCCAAGGGGCATTAGAGTCTGAGGGATGAGGGCGATGTAGGTTTCTTCCGTGACTTTCTGTGAAATCCAAAGTCCCAATACAGGATGGTCTCACCTGTGAACATCCTGCATCTTGCTACTCCCAGGTCACAGGTGTGGTTCCATTAACTTTCTTGGCAAGTAGGCGGCATCACGCTCACTCCTGTTCCAGTTCTCTCTTTGGCCCCTGCTTTGTGTCCAGCCAAGGCGGGGACTGCTGTGCTCTTGCGCTTGGGAAGCCCTGACACGCCTGCTGATTGTGCTGCCCTTGCTTACCATACCTCAGTGGGGTCTGCTGAGGGGGAGAGAACCAGAGAGAGAGGCCCCCCAGCTTAGCTGCCAGGAGCAGTGTTTCCCAAGCTTGAGTGACTTGCATACCAGCTTTAAAAACTTACAGCTGCAGATCACCTGTACTATTTTTACTTGATGATTTTTGTAAATATACTTACCTTTTTTCCCTTATAGAAATATCTTTTTAAAGGAAACTCATAAGAAGAAATTTGCCACAATTTAAAAATTATTGTAGATAATGAATACAGAATCAGAATGATGAAAATAAAAAATGTACGTCCTTATACATCCCAAAATCGACTTATTTGCCACTTTGGGAAATGAGTGAATAGAGAAAGGCTGAAACGCAAGTCTCGCTCCTCCTTATGAAACTACCCACATGGGTATTCTCCTCACTCTTGCTTCTCCTTTCCTGGTGATCCCCTGTGGTTTACATGCCAGAGAATCAGGCTGAATTGTTGTGCTTGAGAAGGGCATTTCTCTAACATGCAGGGTAAGATTTCCCATTCAGGTACATGGTCCGTGCAAAGGCCTTGAGGTGGGAAGGAGTGCGTGCATTCAGGGAGTGTAGCATGAGTGAGCACACCTAAGAGGAGAGAGGCTTGAGGTGAGGCTACTGCAGGCAGTGGGTTGAAAATTAAAAATTGGGGTCTTAAAGGTTAAAAAATTTGGGTCTTTTTTTAAAAGCAGCATGAATCCACTGGGGAGGGGCTGTTAAGGGAGGACATGGAATGATCAAATTTAAATTTTTAAAAGCTCCCCTGTCAATTGTGCAGAAAAGGGATAGGAGGAGGTAAATGTGGATGTGGACCACTGGGAGAGGCAGGCCCTGGCAGAGGCCACATGAGACCTGATGGCCTAGAGTAAGATGATGGTGGCAAAGGATGGAAGGATAGAGCTCTAAGAAATTTTAGGAGGTAAAAGAGAGGGACCTCTGCTTGTTCTTGTGTGGGCATATTAGCGGGGAGGGGGGATCAGGGGTGGCTTCAGCATCTGGCTGGCGTGGTTAGTGGATGGTGCTGAAATGCAGTGAGATGAAATGCACCAGAGAAGAGCTCGAGTTGAGACTAGAGAGACTATGTAGAGTTCAGTTTCGGACAAGTTGACCTTGAAGTTCCTGTGTGACTTCTAAAGAAAGATGTCTCCAAGTTGGGTACATGGGTCTGGAGCTTGGAAGAGAGGTGGGAACTGAGACAGGAATTTGAGACTCGTTAGCCTGTGCTTTAGGTGTGATTGTAAAGGTTGGTGGTGTCTACCAGTCCCTCCTTGTCACTGTGACCTTAGTGTGTGACTGATGTGCCACCCAGTCAGCTCGTTGAACAGGAACAGTAAGTTCAGCTGCTGGTTCAAGGCTGGATTGAGAAGTCTTCCCCTGAAATAAAGCAAAATATGTTGTGTGTTTTTATACTAACAATTGAGATGCAGAAAGATTTTTTTCTTGTTTTTCTCTTTGGTCTCTTCCTCCTCCTCCTCCTTTCTCCTTCCTCCTCCTCCTTCTCCTCTTCCTCTTCCTTCTTTTTTTCTCTTCTTCTCCTTCTCTCATTTTTTTCCTCCTGTCCACTGTGGTGACATCTGGTGACCTGCACTGGCATTTTGTATAAAATGTGTAAACATTTTGTATGGGCCCATCACCATACCAGAAAGGTCGCCCTGTGAGATTTCCTTTCTACCGCCCAAGTGGAGGGTTAAGGGACACTTTTTATAAGCCATTAAGAGCTAACTGTCTGTCCCTCACATTACACAGGCACCTGCGGCTTATAACCAGATCTGGGAACCCGAGATGCATGCTTAAGTAGAGTACAGTTATTATTTATAAGTCTTATTTATGCAGCTAGATTAATGTTTTCAATTCTAGAGAAATTTTACATGCTAATTACTTTTTATTAATGTTTAAATTATTAAAAAAAACTTTAGTCACTATTCTCTTTCATTAATGCTGATTTATTTTTATTTTCCTGGTTAATAGATTACTGTCCTAGATGAGACATGGACCGTATTCAGGCGTTACAGTCGTTTTCGAGAAATGCATAAAACATTGAAGTTAAAGTATGCAGAGGTAAGCTATGAAATAATTATCTCCAATTAAGAACATTTGTTTCGTAAAGTAAATGAGCTGATTGCATTATCAATACCCTATCTCTCTCTCTAGGTATTAGTTTACGAGTGTCACCAAGTTTTATTTTAATTACTCATCTGTCAAAGATAGATTTTTAATTTTTGTCCTTCGTTCCATTTCTATTCTACACAATTTAAACATTTTCTGAACACAAGATAAAGTGACAGTAAATGAATTATATCCTTTTCATACATTTTACAATGAATTTTAAATAAATATTTTAATTTACTTTTCAACTGTGAAACCTATTAAAATCAAATAGTAATAAACTCTTCAATTTAGATTTGTCCTTTTTTCTCTTAAAAAAGACTACATGAATGCTTAGACTTCCACTTAAAGGGAAATAAAGTCATTAAAAGTTCATTTGCCATGGAACATGGAGACGAGGCAGATAGTAAATATGGAATTATCTAGAAGCAAGGAAGCATTTCGTGTACCTGATCAGATATTCGGAGTGTATTGATACATTAGTAATTTTTCCTTTTTGAACAAAGACTAGTTTTTAAATACTTGTAAGCAAAGAAAAATATTCCTAAAATTAATGTATATCTTCCAAGTGAATGTATTATTATTTATATATATATATATATTTTTTTTTTACTTAAGCTAAAGGAAACCTTGTATAGGCACAGCTCTATGGGAATTTTGGTTTGAACTGACTGCAAATCAATCGGTAGTCACTGTCTTTTCAGCTTTATTTTTATAGTTTCTTATGATATCCTAAAAAATAATTTAGTCAGACATTGTCCCTAATTTTTTTCTCATTGAATAACTTATGTTTCCTTAACACTTCCATGCCTTGCACTCTTTCTTATATACAATACAAAGAGAAATATCTTTTTGTAAGTAAAATGGTTCCTTGATGTGTAGAAGAACTTGAGTCCAGGTAAAGTTGAGGTCTCCCTGAAATTCTGTTGTGAAGCTTCATAATAGTGTTCTGTTAACAACTGAAGAAGCTTCAGGTATGAATATAGCTCAGTGTTCCCAAGAGGCTTCAGTTCCAGAAGTAACTACCTCAAAGTCAAGTTATAAAGTTTGCTTCTGCAGTTTACTCTTCATGTCTCTAATTACTATTGACAACCACAAGTGGAAGTATTGTCTACGTGTTAAGTGTACAGAGCAACTTGTTTTTACAGTGAGCTTTGCAGCTCATTAACTGCTTGGTGTTAAGTTACTACATCAGTACTTCAATAATGTACAGATTTTCATATTAACACACTAAATTCTCACAATAATAGATGGAAAAAAACACTTTACTTGAAACAAAAGGACACAAACTTTACAAGGATTTTCATTCCATGATTTATTTCATATCAGTTCATCCAATGCCATTAGTTCAATGCTGTTCTACGTAGGCACGTTTTTCTAGATTCTAGTAATACAGTGGTAGACAAGAACAAAAATGTCTTCTCTTACATATTTTAAATTCATATGGGGACAGACTGACAACAAACAAGGAAAATATAATAATAACTAACACTTAAAAAGTAAGCATGCCATGTGGCAGTTACCATTTTACTTTTAAAAGGTAAGCATGCCATGTGGCAAGTGAGGTACATGCCATATAGGAAAAATATCAATAAAATGTGATGAGGTAGAAGGGTTGAGCACTTTAGTGTAAGATCATTTCAGGATTGTGCTGTCTGATGAAATGGGATTTTAGTTGAAATATGAGGTGATAGGTATTTAAATGAGTTTGCAAAGAAATAATGCACAGCTCTAATCAGTGTTTTTAAAGAAAACTTCAGATCAAACAGAGCAATCTTTAAAGATACAATAGAAGAAAACTTACCTGAGTTAACAATGATGTGAACCTGTAAATCGAAGAGGTTGCCTGGTATCAGGCAAAATTAATGACCAGAGATTACCACCTATGTAAAATTCTTTCCAGGGGGAAAAAGAGTGTATTACATACATGATGAAAAAAAAAATGACCTTCAAATGAAGAAAATCAAGCTGGTTTCATTCATTCACTCATTCACTCATTCATAAATCTGTATTGAGCGGCTCCACAATGTGGATACAGTTGTGAGAAAGACAGTCACATTCTCTCCTCTCAAGAAGCAGAGAGAATGGACAATAAACAAACAAATAAGATAATTTTAGAAAATATTAAGTGCCATGGAGAAAATAAAACAAGACAATGTGATAGTGTGGCATGAGAGCTGGGCAGGGGGCTACTTTAAATGGAGCAGGGGGGAAAGGTTTTCTGAAAGGGTGAGATTGAGCTGAGATCTGAATGTTGAGAAGGAGCTAAGCATGAAAATCTGGAGGTGAGCACATCTTATGTAGAAGGAACAGCAAATGCAGAGGCCCTGGGATGGGACCAAGCATGGCATGTTCCAAGAACAAGAAGACCTGTGAAAAGTGGCAAGTGTGGTAGAGAGGAGGGCAGGGAAGTAGGTAGGGCCTTCATCATGTAGGGCCGTGAATTTTATTCTTAGTGCTGAGGGAAACCACTAGATGATAGTAAACAAGGTCTGAACATTGAAACTCAGCTGGAGTTCCCATTCTCTTCGTAGATGACTTCTCACAGAAACCCTTTTCCTGAAGACAGACTTGTGATCTAACTGATAACCAAGTGTGGAAATTGCTTTTTCGTGTTGAATCCAACTTTGTGACTTATACTTTCTTTCTCATAAGGACAAAAAAAGTTAGTTATGAAAGAGAATCCACAGACACATGTGCATGTATTTGAAAGAGAAGAGAGAATGTGAGTAGTGATTTGAAACTATGTGGTACGATCCTAGAACAAACACCATGTGTAGGAAGGGAAGCTGTGCTAATTATAGACCCTGAGTGGCACGTGCTGATGCCACTGAGCTTTTCAGTTGCCACAACCCTGACCGATTTCCTTACCATTTACTGAGTGCTTACCTTGTCCCAGTCATGGTGTACTATGTTTTTGACATTCATGATCTCCTGTGGTTGGAGCAAGAGACTTGCCTGGTGAGCAGAAGCTGGTAGAGAGGCCCAGGCAGTTTGACTCTATTTCCTATTTCTAAACCAATAATAATATAAAAATTAAATGGGAAAAAAAATACATTATCTCTAAAAACACAGTAGCATGTCATTCTAGATCTAGATGAATATTATTTAGTGAGAGAACAGCACTGTCCATTTAATGTTTCAAGATGAAGCTTAAATATCAAGTTAAATATCAGCTGTATTTTTTTCCGTAAAGTTGACTTTTCTTTGGTGCAGCCTAGCTTCAGTCTTACTTGCTAAGTAAATGGTTGATGATAATTTTTTTTAATGATACGTATTAAATTTACCTAGTCATTGAAGGTTCTAAATTTTCAATCAAGCTGAAAAAATATTGAAAAAGCACACTTGAATGCAAAATATACAGAATTTGTAATATACTTGCCAAGACAGAGAATCTTTGTTCACCTTAAAACTTTAGTTTTGTTTATAGCTTATAACCTTTTGGGACTTTTGTCTAAAATTACATCCTATTCCTTCACATTTCCTTCTGGAATTTTGGCCATGTTCTTCTGGGGGATATACCTCTAAAGCAGGTTGATGTACGAGTTCCTTTTATGGAGACTTTTTTTCCTATCAGTAGTCCTTTTTTTTTTTTTTCAAATAATAAGTTGCGTGTTTATGATAAAAGGTTGAAATTCAAAGATATTTACATAGAGCATGAAAGGTTCTCCTAATCTCACCTCAGAAATAACCATTTGCAATGCCCTTAGAAGGTCTTCTTGGATCCAACTAAACATTCAGACTCACAGGACTCCCATGGGCCATACTCAGCCTCGAGTGACCTGGGAGGGATGTAAGACAGAGATTACTGCTTCCCAGCAGGGCCGAGACTGCCATCACAGCAATGTCTCCAGAGTCCACACAGCTGTCGGGATGCCGTTTTCTTTGCCCTGCCTCTCCCAGGTTATAGCTTAGGTGCAAGGAGATGAGATCCACGTGGGGCAGATGTGAGACCCGCTCTGGCATAGAATCCTATGCAACAAGGGAGTCAGTATCTTTGGGAACAACTCCATGGGCAGAACTTCCTGAGTCCCTGCAAGGGACGTGCTGAGTTACAAGTCACCTCACTCAGAAGCCTAAAGCTATGGCTTCCCACCTGATAGCTATCATTTCCCTATTCCACAAGCACTTGTCATTTACCATGGGCAATGGTGTATGGTAACAAAGTCGGAATATCACCTTATCGGGTTTGCAGAATCCTTTTGATGGACATAGGGGTAGTTTCCAGATTTTTGCCGCTGTGACTACTTCTCTATGGACATTCTTGAAGATATCTACATGTCTTCCAATCCACATGTGCAGACTTTGTGAAGAAATTTGGTAATTGCTGAACTGCTCTTAAAGACTTAATTTACCGAAAGCCAAGATTAGGAAAGAACACAAAGAAATTGGGTAGGCTGAGAGCCCTGAGGGCCTTCACTCCCTTAGTGAGCTTTTAAGAATTCCTTAACTGGGGCTGGCCCGGTGGCATAGTGGTTAAGTTTGTGCGCTCTGATTTGGGGGTCCGGGGTTTGCAGGTTCGGATCCTGGGCGCGGATCTATGCACCGCTCATCAAGCCATGCTGTAGCGGCATCCCATATACAAAATAGAGGAAGATTGGCACAGATGTTAGCTCATGACCAATCTTCCTCAGCAAAAAGAGGAAGATTCGCAATAGATGTTAGCTCATGGCCAATCTTCATCACCAAAAAAAAAACAAAAAAAGAATTCCTTAACCATTGTTCAGCTGAGTCTTCCAATATCCCTGTTTACTCATATTCGTTGGCTTAATTATTTACTATACTATATTAACTATAGTAAATAATTATTTACTATCAGGACAATGAAGCTGGTCAACTGAAGACCGCTCAGGGATAAACAGGAAGGGGTTATTGATTATTAGATATAACATGTCTGTGAAGAAAGTAGGAGGAACTTAGGATTATTACAAGCAAAATGAATTTATGAATTG